ACTAATAAGTTGAAATAAGATTCAACTGAATATAAAATAGAGAATATTGAGCGAATAAACAGCGAGTATCCATCCACAAGCAAAGAAATCAATGGCTCAACGAACGAACAATGCCGCCGGCGTCAACGAATCGACTCGTCTCCACAAGACCCTTATCCGTGCTCACCGCAATCACCTCATTATCATCACCAGTCATCACCTCTCTCACTGCACACTGCTCGAAAATTTTCACACCTGAACTTTCGGCTCGTAAACGATACACTATTGTCGCTGTACTTGATACTGATATCGATTAATTCTAATACAATTGAATATCTTAATCTGTGCGATTGCGATCAATTCTGAAAGAGTTTCCAAGATTTGCTACAAATCTCGATATTGCGTAATATTTTACTGCACCTTTGTTTTTCTTATGCCGTCGTCAGAAAAATAAAAATAAAATTCAAATGTCCGAAATAAACGAATTTTAAGAAGACACAGAATAAGCAAACCTGCTTCGCTTGCTCGTTCAGCCAACGCTTGGCATAGTCCGATTGGATCAACACATAAATCATTTGTTGAAAGGACAGCCAACTGAAATTTTTCTCATTTTGGATCAGAAACCAATGCGAAGTATCACCCACTATCACCAATTAATTTCAAATTGTTCACAAATATTCACATAAAAAATCCCCATCCGAATGACACAAATCTCGGAATGTGTTGATGGAGCCGCATATACTAACAATAAGTACCAGCACACATCGTATTTGATGCTTCCACCACAAAAACTTTCAAATTCTGACCAATTTTTAACGTANCTAATATTATACTGAATCTCAAAATCGAATAAACTTTTTAGCAAGAAAATAAGTGCTCAAAATTTCAGCCGAATTATTCACGTTCGCTGAGAAATAAAAGTGCGAAATCACACTACCCCAACATCTTCGGTCTGCAAATGTGGCCATCTATAGAGCAATTCACTTGGATCATCCAATAACTCGGCCTCTTCATTATACACCACTCTTCGTGAGTACATTCTCCGTAGACTTATCTCACTCGCTTTTGATTTGGCCATATAGAGACGTCCACATCGATGCAATCCTGAATGCATTTACGTCTAATCACTCCTCTCCTCAGAAGTTCGACTGAGTCATGTCGTTCAAAGCATAAAACGCACTGAAGTTTGATGTGCCCGCAAGGTCGTTGTATAGATCCAACGATAGCTTTGCCATGTACTGTTTTGCAGGGTCTTGCCAATGCATTGGTGCTGTTACAAGTCCTGCACTGACACCTGTCGCTCCACCGCATCCTATGCTAAAAACACTTCTTTGGAGCTTCTTACGGATGAAAATACTTCCGAGCTATGTAATCAGGTAAGATTTCATTGGTGCAAAACCAACTAAAAGACGCTATCTATGAAGACGCAATTAAAACCTAAACTTTTTTGTACCCTCAAAAACTCTCCAAAAAGTCTGAAAATCTCAAATTCTATGAAATGTCCACTGAAAAATCGCACAGAAAAGTAAACTCTCAAAGGCTGTCCAATATAAAATTCGAACAAATTCTTATTTTTCTAAAGCGATCTCNAATCGACAAATTCTCATTGACCATTACGTATGAACATGCAAATCAACAACGTCAACTCAAACAATAATACCCACCAATCTCTTTCGAATAAAAAAACCCGTTTTCCTCGCTTCGCTAAATGGTATGCGATTGATGTGCCCGTGATTCCACCTCCACACACCACAACATCAGCACTTCTTGTTTTAGCACTGAATTTGAGTTACATGTTTTCAATGTTACATATTCACTATTGATAGTGACCATCAGTGGATGAAGTTTGCCATTTCGGTGACTTGAAGTAGTCGATTTAATTTCATGTCTTCGAATGTATTATAAATGCGCGATAATTTCTTTTCATGTGTTTTCTAATGATTGAACGGACAGATCAAATGAACTTCCCCCATTGCATTCAACTAATATTTCGAATTTGATATGTTTGACATCACGTGATATGTTGTTTCTCATCGTTCGATCCATTACAATAATCATTATGATGATTGGGTGGTGACTTCGATTCAGAGGGGACGATAACGATAGAGATTCTCGTTTCGTTTAGGAATTCCGCGAA